TTGTCCAAGCATCTCGTATCTTCTATATAGTTACAATCTAAACTGGTTGTATGCTTTAGTTTTATGACCTAGTAGTTCATTGCTATGTGAAGTTCTTCATTGATATTCATTTTGGACTTGGTTTAGTTTAGAATGATTGCCATTAGTATTTGAAACTTATTTAGTTGAAATTAATAAGTTTAAACTCAAAAGTTTGCACAAATAGAAATAATAGGCAAATATAAGTGATCTTAAGGACCAACTAAGAGGACAGGAAAAACAGTGAACAATAATTCATAAATTATTACCACAAAAAAAAAAGATTTTAATGATGAGTTTTGGTGGGGACTTCTAATTATCACTGCAGTGAAGTTTAAGCTTTACTCAAAAATCTTGTTGCTCGAATTTAAATTTGCCCTTTGGTTCTTTTATGGTTTTAGGCTTGTGATAATTGTTCTTGGACATTAGAATACTAAATTGGGACCTTGCGGCAATATTGCGTACGGATTGGATTGGATCATGGTGTTGGGCTCCACTCTTTGAGTGAAGGGTTGAATAAACTAATGGTATGTTTACATTAATGGGAACTTAAATTTAAATCAAATTGGACCCTTCAAATCAAATCTAGATCATATTAAAAATAAAAAATTTATTAAATTATTTTATAACTTTTATTTTAAAAAATATAATATATAATAATGGATTAAATCTGAACCATCCAGATCAAAATTTGGATGGTTCAGATCTCATCACAGTGATGAGCATCCAAATTGGGTTTGACATGGTGAGGCGTAAATCCCTTTTCATCCACACAACCCACAGTTTCCTCTGGGTACAGTTTAATGATTTCAAATGCCAACTCAGCAGTGAATGGAATAATTAATGTACGTGAGCAAGAATTAATCAATAAATAAATCATTAATTAGTTGTAAATTTATAACATTTGGATCCTTTTAAATTTTTTATCGGTTCTAAAATTAATTGATTCTATAGAAGCAATTTTAATTTAAACCGTTTAAAGTTCAATTGAATGGGCCGATTTCACCCTTTTTTGATATAATACTAGAATAAGGAATTAAATTGAAGAGATAGCATCAATTTCTATCAACTAAACTACCTGCTTTGGGCATCCCTAACAGATTGCAATTGGTCCTTACTATTGTTGGCGTCCATAACTCATGGATATGGAGTGGGTCAAGCTCGCTGCTACAAAAGACTTCAAAAAAAGCTTCAAATTAGCCTCAACTTAGAACATCTTGTTGACCAATTGAAAAAATATGAACACAGGATTAGAGCATGCTACCACAAGTACTTAAATTTCAATTGCGAAACCTTAGTGTGGGTGATGATTATTGATGCCTCTTTCGTACTTGATTTTCTTCAACAAGGAAGAGTGATCGATTATGGTGGTAGGAGGAAATCAGGTCAAAATGATCAAACCCTAAGAGACATACTAATGCTTGAAAATCAGATCCCATTATTTGTTTTGAGAAAAGTTTTAGAGTTCAAATTGTCATCATCATCAACAGAAGAATCATCAACAGATGACATGCTTCCTGCTTTGTTGATAAGGCTGTTTAAAGCAATTTCACCTTTTGAGATGACGACTAAAGAAAATCATTATTCAGAGATCCAAGTCTCACAATGGGCGCATTTGATTTCTTGCATAACATGATTGTGCCCAAATTGGAAGAACAACCAAATATGATTGACTTTGAGGACCATAACAGAGACATGGAAGGCAATGAAAAATCATTTGTGAGATATGTTAAGCAAGCCTTAAGTGAGATATCGAGGATGGCATCAAGATTGACCAAATCATCAGTAAGTTTCATTCAGAAGGTATTGTTGAACTTCTTTTTCTTGTTAAATCCATATAGGTGTGTCAACTCATTATGTTACATCAGATTTTCTTTTTTCCTTTTGAATTGGGCATCAGATTTTCTAATCGTGATATCATTTTGGCTCTTGTAAAAGTGTACCAACTCTTGTTTAGGATTCTCTAGCACTTGAATTATTTAGGTTTTGGGATGTTAAGTGTGAGTTGAGTTGGTTTAAGATGTGAAAAATATTACATCGGATAGAGTTGGGTTAAAAAAGAGATATATAAATGGAAAAGATCCATAAACTTAATATCTTAATGTTTTAAGTAAAAATATATAGTGTCATACTATGTGTCCTCTTAGTACTATTAGGTGACCTAGCTGTGTTTTTCCCCTTTCTAAGATGCTCTTTATATATGAACTATGAATATGAATTTAATGCCATTTTAGATAATAAACCTATGATCAACGACTTAAGACTTATAATTCAAAGTCTCATTATACAGAGTTATTTTTTTAGGTATTATTGTACAAGCCAATGAAGATCATCATTTGCATGCCTTTGACAATCATTTGTAACCTTCCGGTGGTTGGGATTATAAAACACCCTTTGGAATACTTGTTTTTCTCACAAGAGAATGAGCAATCAAAACCAAAAAATATTGATCTCAAGAAGCCACCCTTGATGGAGGAAATTGCTATCCCTTGTGTTACAGAACTCTCAAACTCTGGAATCTATTTCTCACCCACTAATAATGGAGCAATTCACAATATCAGATTTGATGAAGCAGCAGCGACACTTCACCTTCCCACAATAGCCATAGACATCAACAGTCAAGTGTTGCTTAGAAACTTGGTTGCTCATGAAGCATCAATTACATGCAGTGGTGGGCCACTTGTTTTCACAAGATACACATAAAACCATTTTTGGATAACAACATTGAAGATGTGAACAAGTACTACAATGGCAGGATGAGGGTTAAAACTTGGAGACTTGTAAAGTTTTATGTGTTTGGTTCATGGCAGTTTCTGACATTTCCAGTTGTTGTATGGATCTTGCTCCTGATGTTCTTTCAAGCTTTCTGCTCTTTTTATGGATGCAATCATAGGAACCATGCCAAGACTATTAGATGATTAAATAGTGGAGTAGTATACAAGACTCACTTTTCTCCAAGAATCTGGTTTCTTTTATATCGTTACAATGTATTGTGGTTGGACTCGGTTGTATGATTTGGTTTCATGACCTAGCAGTTCATTGGTATGTGAAGTTCTTCATTGATATTCATTCTGGATTTGGTTTGGTTTAGGATGATTGCCATTAGTATTGGAAACTTATTTAGTTGAAATTAATAAGTTTAAACTCAAATTTTGAAAAAAAAAATTGTTTATGATTTCTTATCATAATCATTACCATAAATTGATTGAAATTTTCCCTTTTGAAATGATGAATAAAAATTACTCATGGATCAATTTTAACAAAGTGCATAAATTGTGCAAAAATAGGAATAATAGACAAATATAAATTATCTTAAGGACCAATAGAGAGGATAGGAAAGATAGTGAACAATCATTCATAAATTATCACCACAAAAAAAAAACGATTTTAACGATGATTTTTGGTAGAGAATTTTAATGATCACTGCAGTGGAGTTCAAGCTTCACCCAAAATTATTGCTGCTCGAATTTTAATTTTCCCTTAGCCTCTTTTATACTTCACCGACAATATATTGGACCCTGCGGCATCTTGTGTATGGATTGGATTGGATTATGGATTTGGACTTGCTCATGATGTTGGGCTTGACTCTTTGACTGAAGGGTTGAAATAAATATGTTTTGATTAATAAGAATTTGAATTTGAATCAAATTTTTTATTTGGATATATAAAAATTTATAAATTTATAATTTTATTTTATATTATATTTCCTTTTGTAATTTCAAAGTATATTTACATATATGCATTTTAGTCATTTGAAATTTTAATCATTTCAAATCTCTTATTTTCTTTATGTTTTTATTATTGATACCTCTTTAACTCTCATATTTTTCTTATTTTTGATTCTCATCTCTCATCAATTAAAAAATAGAGCTAAATTTGTCATTTTTAATTTTTTATTTCATTTCAAATATTAACTCATCTCTTCTTCATTTGAATTTTTTAAAACTACCTAAATAAAGAGGTTCAAATACATGAATTTTAGGTGTGAGATTTGAAATACATTATTTTAAGTCTAAAATTAAAATCTAAATCCATCAATCCAAACACTATTTAACCATGAATGTCCTATGAATATGCCATATTCCTGTTGTTTGTTCCCTTCGTGTTTTGAAGAATGAATTTAACTGTGAGAAGCAGGCTCTCATTTAAAGGAAAAAAAACGGTTTAGTTAGTGGTCAAGTTAGTTTAATATTCTTTGCTTTTCATCAAAGAATCAATTCTTAGTATTATAATCAAATATATTTAATTATTATCTGTATTTTAGAGATGATATGTCTTTTGATGTGGATATATATAATGTTGAATAATAGCAAGGATTTTCATCAATGTTAATCACAACTCTAAAGATTGAAGATTTAATTAATTAAAAAAATATTTACAAGGCCTTCGGCTCAAGTTAACCATAATTTTATGAAGGACCAGAACTTACGTTTTATTTTATGTTTTTACTTTTTTCCCACCTTGAGCACCTTGCCTTCACAATTTAACAATCTTTAAAATTCTTGGTCAAAGGTGTGGGACCCTCCAAAAGCCGAGCTTCCAGTTACTGATAGATAATGATGGGAGAGATTTTCATATAGTAGTAAAATTAGAAACGATACAAATGTGGCGGGAAAAATTATTTGAAACAGCACAGCAACGAAATTATAATTTCAAATGACTTCATTAAGATACAAAGCTGAATAAAAAGAAAAGAATACTAACAACATCCATGAATGGTTATGATTGAAGGTTGCAACAACACAATCCTTCACTTGAAAGATTTAAAACAACAATTCATCCCTTGACTAAAGATGAAATTCAACCCACAATGATGTGGCTCCTTTATATAGATTTAGAGATACCAACTGATTAGGTGAGTAAAGACTAATGGATAACATCCTACTATTGCAACAGTAGCTGGAGCTGTTGATAGCAAAAGAGATTAATAGTTGTGAGGGGAATATATATAATGTGATGGAGATAAAGTGATAAGAGTTTGATCAGAGAATAAGCTTCTCAGATTCTCTATTGCTGGACTGGGGACTCTTGAACAAAATAGCTCTCACAAGATCGATGTAGAGGGGGAACTGAGCAACGCCAAAGAAAGTAATAGGCAAGATAGTGACGGCATAGAGGGGGAAAACAACCTGCTGGAGGTGTTCCCTGAGCAAGAAGAAGAATGCGGAAGAGAAAGAAACCAAGACGGAAGCGATGGACACGAAGAGGCAACTCAACCCCAAAAGAAGTTTGAGAGGCAAATCTTTGCGGAAATCTCGAGGTTGCTGTCGGGAAGTGAGGATGGAGAGGAACATGACAAGAGAGGTGATGGAGCAGGAGAGAGCCAGGAGGGATGTGAATGCAAACAAGTTGAAAGCCAGGTGGCGCTCCAAGTAAGGTTTTCCGGTCTCCTCCTGAGTACCGCCGGGGAAAGTGGTGGCCCTGGCGAAGGCCACGCCGGCAATAAGCGCAGCCACCACGGAGCATGACTCTGACGTGATCTTCAGCCACTCGTTGTCTTGGTTGAGTAGCTTCTCGTGGTCACTTACGAAAATGTCCTCCGGTGCGTTGTTGCTTTTGTTTGGGAGGAATTGCATATGCTGCGGCATTTTCGTCTCCATAAACTAGAAATACAAGAAATTAAAGCTCACGTCAATATAAACATGCATGCATTGCTTTACATGAAACCATGCATGGATTGAATTAATTTGATAGATGAGGAGGAAGAATACCAGAAACCATTTAACTTCCCACTGCATTTGCAAGGAAGAACCAGCAATATGCCACGGCTTGTATTGTGAGAGGTTGGCGGTCAAGTGGAGGATCGTGTTGCCGTCTTTGTCTGCACGTCCCACGTGGCTTTCCCACAACTCCTCCTTCTTCAGGTACTTCTCCAGATGCTCGAATACACGTGGTTGCCTATTCTTCACGGCCACATGCAATAAATTTTGGTCTAGCGTGTTCGTTTCGTGGATGGCCCCTGGTTTATCTTTCAGAATTTTCTTCAATATTTCCAACACCCCATTTTTCGCTGTAATAAACAATACTGACTCATTTCTCCCCCCTTCATTTTCCTCTTCTTCATCACACCCTACAAATGAATATGTCCAATCAATATTGTGGGCTATGACAACGGATTATTCTTCTTTCAAGTTGAGAATTCATGAATTTCAAGAAATTTTCATTTTTAAAGAAGAGATTAAAGATTTCAAGTTTTATAAACAAAAATATTAAAAATAATAAATTCATGAATCTGAAGTTCAAAGGATTTAAGTCCATGGGTTATATATAACATTTCATTTATAAATATGTAAGAGTCCCACGGACAAGCAATGAAAAATATATATTTTGAGATAAAAAATAATTAATAAATATTTAAAATTAAATACACACTTATTTTACACACACACACAAATCACATAGGCTTAAGCAGCATCCAGTTAAATTCAAGCTTCCAGATCCATTACCGTTTCTTTTGAACAAGTGTGTGAGCAATTTGTCCAACTTTTGGGAGTTTTGTAACATCAAATCTGTCAGCAAAGAGAGGAAAAGAAGACTTCAGAGACTGTCTGTCATCATCTCTCAACTCTCGTTTCTCATCTCTTTATTTCTTTCTTGTTAATTTTTCAATGAGCATTTCGCCAGAGAATACTCCCTTCGGACATAATATAAGTTATTATTAACTAATTTACCTATTTCAAAAGAATGCTAGTTAGAATATTTGTTTTTTTTAAAAAAAAAATCATATCTTTTCAATTGTGCCCTTAAGTGTAATAAATATAACATTTGATTTATTTAAAATACTTTCATTAATTACTCAATAAAATAAGTGTGTAAGTGGGGAAAAAAAATCTATGCCATATATTTTGAAACAAGTAAAGCTTGCAGAAAATATCTTATATTATGATTTGGAGAGAGTAGTTCTTAAGTTGATTAATATAGAGTTTCTTTTCCAACAAATCTATAAAGAAGGTAAGAATTAGTAGTTCTTAAGTTGGTTAACATAGAGAGTTTCCTCCCCACAAAATCTATAAAGAAGGCAAGAATTACCTTTATGTTGTGAATTATGATTTTTAGTCATAACTAATGGTAGAGTTACCTTGTAGCTGGTGTTGATCTGCAGTAACTTTTTGGTTGCCAACATCTGCACTTTGCTTCGCATCACCTGCAATTGAAAAGTGTATAACATCTATTGGATCCAATTCAAAGGTAGGGGCCGATACTATGTTTTGAAAATTTTCCCGAATTAGCGAGGAGAATGACAAATGAGGACATTAATATCATGTTAGAATTTCTTTATAACTAAGGTTCTCAAATTCAATATTTTTTCTCCTATGTTACACTACTAAAGTTTTTAAAAAATTTAGTTAGAATCTCCTTGTTTCTTTCTCGTTAATTTTTTAATGAATATTTCACTAGAAAATAATCCCTTCAGACCACAATATAAGTTACTTTTAACTAATTTACCTTTTTATGAGAAAAAGCTAGTTAGAATCAAGATTTAAAAAAAAAAAATTCATATCTTTTCAACTGTGCCTTTGAGTGTAATAAATATGATGTTTGAATTATTCGAAATACTTCCATTAATTATTTAATAAAATAAGTTTGCAATTGGAAAAAGAAAATTCACTACACCTATCTAATGCCATATATTTTGAACCAAGTAAAGCTTTTAAAAAAATATCTCATACTATAATTGGGAGAGAGTAGTTCTTAAGTTGATCAATATAGAGAGTTTCTTCCCCACAAAGTTTATAAAGAAAGTGAGAATTAATAGTTTTTAAGTTGATCAATATAGAGAGTTTCTACCCCACAAGATCTATAAAGAAAATGAGAATTACATTTATGTTGTGAATTGTGATTTTTACTCATAATTAATTGTAGAGTTACTTGTGGTTTGTGTTGATCTGCAATGACTTTTTGATTGCCACCATCTCCACTTTGTTTTGCATCACTTGCAATTGAAAAGTGTATAACATCTACTGGATCCAATTCAAAGGTGGGGCCATTACAAATAACTAAATCTCTCAAATACAATATTTTTTTCTCCCATGTTTGAGTACTAAAATTTTTAAAAAATTCAGTTAGAATATCATTATTGCTTTCTCACTAATTTTTTAATGAACATTTCACTAGAGAATACTCCATTCAGACCACAATATAATTTATTTTTAACTAATTTACCTTTTTATGAAAAAAAAGCCGCCGGTTACAATCTAGATTTTCTAAAAAATTTCATATCTTTCCAACTGTGCCCTTGAGTATAATTAATATGATATTTGAATTATTCAAAAATACTTGCATTAATTACTCAATAAAATAAGTTTGTAATTGGAAAAAAAATCCACTACACCAATCCAAAGCCATATATTTTGAACTAAGTAAAGTTTTTAAAAAATATCTCATACTATGATCCGATGAGAGTAGTTCTTAAGTTGATCAATATAGAGAATTTGTTCTCCACAAAGTTTATAAAGAAGGTGAGAATTAGTAGTTCTTAAATTGATCAATACAGAGAGTTTCTACGCCACAAAATCTATAAAGAAAGTGTAAATTACATTTATGTTGTGAATTGTGATTTTTAGTTATAATTAATTGTAAAGTTACCTTGTGGTTTGTCTTGATCTGCAGTGACTTTTTGGTTGCCACCATCTGTACTTTGTTTTCCATCACCTGCAATTGAAAAGTGGATAACATATATAAGATCCAACTCTAAGGTTGGGCCATTACAAATAACTAAAGCTCTTAAATACAATATTTTTTTTTCCATGTTTCAGTACAATTTCTTTTTAAATTCAGTTAGAATGACATTATTTCTTTCTCTTTAATTTTTTAATGAATATTTTACTAGAGAATACTCCCTTCAAACCACAATATAAATTACTTTTTAACTAATTTACCTTTTTATGAAAAAAAGCTGGTTAGAATCTAGATTTTCTAAAAAATTTCATATCCTTCCAACTTTGCCCTTGAGTGTAATAAATATGATATTTGAATAATTCAAAATAATTCCATTAATTACTCAATAAAATAAGTTTGTAATTAAAAAAATCACTACATCTATCCAACGCCACATATTTTGGACTAAGTAAAGCTTTTTTTAAAAAATATATCATACTATGATCCGGAGAGAGTGGTTCTTAAGTTGATCAATATGGAGAGTTTCTTCCCCACAAAATTTATAAAGAAGGCGAGAATTAGTAGTTCTTAAGTTGATCAATATAGAGAGTTTCTGCCTCACAAAATCTATAAAGAAGGTGAGAATTACATTTATGTTGTGAATTGTGATTTTTAATCATAATTAATTGTAGAATTGCATTTGTGTTGGGCTTGACTCTTCGATTGAAGGGGTAAAATAAATGTTTTATTAATCAGAATTTGAATTTGAATCAAAATTTTCATTTAGATAGATAAAAATTTATAGATTTGAAAATTCATTTCTTATCATATTTCCTTTTGTTATTTTTCAAATTACATCTATATATATATATATATATACATACACATCCTAGTCATTTGAAATTTTAGTTTTTTCAAACTTCTTGATTTTTTTTTGTGTTTTCACTATTAATACCTCTTTTACTTTTGTATGTTTCTTTATCTTGTATTCTCATCTCTTATCGATTGAAAAATAAAGATAAACTTATCACTTTTAGTTTTGCATTTTCATTTCAAATCTTTACTTATCTATTCTTCATTTGAATTTTTTAAAACTACTTAAACAAAAGATTTCAAATACATGTACTTAAAGTGTGAGTTTTGAAATGTGATATTTTAAATCTCAAATCTAAATCCATCAATCCAAACAGTTAAAGGGATTTTGTTTCTTAAGATCACATTATATTGTGTTCTTAAATTAAATATAAACCTGGAATTATGAATTATCGTTTGAGTAGACTGCTATTTGGAATCAGCTTGCACAAGCATTTTTGGAATATTAATTAATACGACCTACTATTTTCACATGAATTAAATATGACTTTGAAAATTATTAAAACGTTTTATTGGGTTAGCCCAACCTTCGTGGCTTCACAATTAAAGCTCCATCTGTAAATACTCGGACAATAACTACACCAAACTGTAAAGACTCTTACCAAAAAGCTTTTTCTTTTTAATATATATATATATACACATATATACATACATATATATATATATATATATATATGAGTGTATTATATAAGAGAAAGGTGAGAAGTGCGAGCGCAACCATGTATGTCCTATGAATATGCCATCCTCCTGTTGTTTCTTCCTTTCGTCTATTCAAGAATGAATTTAACTGTGAGAAGCAAGCTCTCATTTTGGGGGGGGGGGGGGCATTTTAGTTAGTGGTCAATTTAGTTTAATTTTCTTTGCTTTTCATCAAAGAATCAATTCTTAGAATTATAATCAAATACATTTAATTATTATCTTTAATGTAGAGATGATATGTCTTTTGATGTGGATATATATATATATATATATATTGGCAGGATATATATATGTATACATATGATGTTGGATAATAGCAAGGATTTTCATCAATGATAATTACAACTGTTATGATTATTTTTTAATTAATTTTAAAAATATTCATAAGGCCTTCGGCTCAAGTCAACCATAATTTTAACGACCAGAACTTATGTTTTATTTTATTTTTTTCCCTCTTTACTTGGGCACCTTGCCTTCACAATTTAAAATTCTTGGTCAATTAAGAAGTTCAATTGCATGATGAATATTTGGAATATCAAAGGTGTGGGGCCCTCCTAAAGCCGAGGTTCCAGTTATTGATTAGATCATGATGGGATAGATTTTCATATATAGTAGTGGAATTAGAAACGATACAAATATTTTTTTTTTTGGGGGGGGGGTTTAAAACGGCACAGCAAAGAAATCATAATTTCAAGTGACTTCATTAAGATACAAAGTTGAATAAAAGAAAAGAAGATGAACAACAGCCATGAATGGTATTAAGACTGAAGGTTTACGACAAACACAATCCTTCACTCTAAAGACTTAGGACAACAATTCATCCCTTAACTAAAGGGTGAAATTCAACACAATGATGCGACCCTTTATATAGATTTAGAAATTCAACACTAATGGATGACATACTAATATTCCAACCGAGTTAATAAATAGTAGCGGGAGCTGTTGATAACAAAAGCGATGAATAGTGGTGAGAAGAATATATAATATGATGGGAATAAAGTGATAAGAATTTGATCAGAGAATAAGCTTCTCAGATTCTCTATTACTGGACTGGGGAATGTTGCGGAAAGTAGCTCTCATAAGATCCATGTAGAGGGGGGACTGAGCAACGCCAAAGTAAGCAATAGGCAAGATAGCGACAGCATAGAGTGAGAAAACAACCTGCTGGAGGTGGTCCCTGAGCAAGAAGAAGAATGCGGAAGAGAAAGAAGCCAAGACGGAAGCGATGGACATGAAGAGGTAACTCAACCCAACAAGAAGTTTGGAAGGCAAATCCTTGCGGAAATCTTGAGGTTGCTGGCGGGAAGTGAGGATGGAGAGGAACGTGATCAGAGAGGTAATGGAGCAGAAGAGAGCCCAGAGGGGTGTGAATGCAAACAAGTTGAAAGCCGGATGGCGCTCCAAGTAAGGTTTGCCGGTCTCCTCCTGAGTACCGCCGGGGAAAGTGGTGGCCGTGGCGAAGGCCACGCCGGCAATAAGAGCAGCCACCACGGAGCATGACTCCGACGTGCTCTTCAGCCACCCAATGCCTTGCTCGAGTAGATCCTCGTGATCACGTACGAAAATGTCCTGCGGTGTCTTTCTGCTTTTGTTTTGGAGGAATTGCATATGCGGCATTTTCTTCTTCATAAACTAGAAATACAAGAAATTAAAGCTCACGTCAATGTAAACATGCATGCATGACACATGAAACCATGGATTGAATAAATTTGATTGAGGAGGAGGAAGAATACCAGAAACCATTTAACTTCCCACTGCATTTGCAAAGCAGAACCAGCAATATGCCGGGGCTTGTAACGCGAGAGCTTGGCTGCCAAGTGGAGGATCGTGTTGTCGTCTTTGTCTGCACGTGCCACGTGGCTTTCCCACAACTCCTTCTCCTTCAGGTACTTCTCCAGATGCTCGAATACACGTGGTTGCCTGTTCTCCACGGTCACATGCAACACATTTTGGTCTAGCGAGTTTGTTTCGTGGATAGCCCCTGGTTTATCTTTCAGAATTTTCTCCAATATTTCCAACACCCCATTTTTCGCCGCAATGAACAATACTGACTCATTTCCTCCTTCATGTTCCTCCTCTTCATCACACCCTACAAATTAGTCCAATCAATATTATGGGCTATGACAACGGATTATTCAAATTGAGAATTCATTTTCCTTTTTAAAGAAGATATTAAAGATGTAAAGTTTTATAAAAGAAATATTAAAAATAATAAATTCATGAACCTGAAGTTCAAAGGATTTAACTCCATGGGTTATATAATTGTGTATATATATATATAACATTTCATTTATAAATAAATAAAAGTCCCACGGACAAGCAATAAAAAATATACATTTTAACATAAAAATAATTAATAAATATTTAAAATTAAATGCACACTTTTTTTTTAAATTTGCCAATCACATAGGCTTACGCGGCATCCAGTTAAATTCAAGGTTACAGATTCATTACCGCTTCTTTTGCACAAGCGTGTGAGCAATCTGTCCAACTTTTGGGAGTTTTGTAACATCAAATCTGTCAACAAGAGATGAAAAAGAACACTTCAGAGACTGTCTGTCATCATCTCTTAACTCTCATTTCTCATCTCTTTATTTCTTTCTTGTTAACTTTTTAATGAGTATTTCACTAGAGAATACTCCATTCCGATCATGATATAAGTCATTATTAATTAATTTATCTTTTTAAAAAAAAGTTAGTTAAAATCTTGATTTTTCAAAAAAAATTCATTTCTTTTCAATTATGCCCATGAGTGTAATAAACACAACATTTGATTTATTCAAAATACTATCATTAATTACTCAACAAAATAAGTGTGTAAGTGGAAAAAAAAATCTATGCCATATATTTTGGAGCAAGTAAGGCTTGCAGAAAATATCTTATATTATGATCCGAAGAAGGTAGTTCTTAAGTTGATCAATATAGAGAGTTTCTTCCCCAAAAAATCTATAAAGAAGGTGAGAATTAGTAGTTCTAAAGCTGATCAAAATAGAGTTTCTTCCCTCACGAAATCTATAAAGAAGGTGAGAATTACCTTTATGTTGTGAATTGTGATTTTTAGTCATAACTAATGGAAGAGTTACCTTGTAGCTTGTGTTAATCTGCAGTAACTTTTTGGTTGCCAACCCCTGCACTTTGTTTCGCATCACCTGCAATTGAAAAGTGTTTAACATCTACTGGATAGGTCCAATTCGAGGGGGGGGGGCGGATACTATGTTTAGAAAATTTTCCCAAGTTAGCAGGGAGAATGACAAATGAAGAGCATTAATGTCATGTTAGAATCTCTTTATAACTAGGGTTCTCAACTTCAGTATTTTTTCCACCATGTTTTAGCACTAAAATTTTTAAAACATTCAGTCAGAATCTCATTATTTCTTTCCACTTAATTTTTTAATGAATGTTTCACTAGACAATACTTCTTCAGACCACAATATAAGTTATTTTTAACTAATTTACCTTTTTATGAAAAAAAAAAAGCTACTTAGAGTCCAGATTTTCTAAAAAATTTCATATCTTCCAAACTGTGCCCTTGAGTGCAATTAATATAATATTTGAATTATTCAAAATACTTCCATTAATTACTGAATGAAATAAGTTTGTAATTGGAAAAAAAATCCACTACACCTATCCAATGACATATATTTTGGACCAAGTAAAGCTTTTAAAAAATATCTCATATTATGATCCAGAGAGAGTAGTTCTTAAATTGATCAATATAGAGAGTTTCTTCCCCACAAAGTTTATAAAGAAGGACAGAATTAATAGTTCTCAAGTTGATCAATATAGAGAGTTTCTACCCCACAAAATCTATAAAGAAGGTCAGAATTACATTTATGTTGTGAATTGTGGTTTTTAGTCATAATTAATTGTAGAGTTACCTTGTAGCTTGTCTTGATCTGCAGTGACTTTTTGACTGCCACCATCTGCACTTTGTTTTGCATCACCTGCAATTGAAAAGTGTATAACATCTACTGGATTCAATTCAAAGGTGGGGCCATTACAAATAACTAAAGCTCTCAATACACAATATTTTTTCTCCCATGTTTCAGTGCTAAAACTTTTAAAAAATTCAGTTAGAATCTCATTATTTCTTTCTAGTTAATTTTTTAATGAATGTTTCAATAGAGTTTCTACCCTACAAAATCTATAAAGAAGATGAGAATTACATTTATGCTGTGAATTGTGATTTTTAGTCATAATTAATTGTAGAGTTACCTTATGGTTTGTCTTAATCTGCAGTGACTTTTTGGTTGCCAAAATTGTCACTTTGTTTCACGTCCAGTTGAAAAGCACATAACATCTATTGGATCCAATTCAAGGGCGAGGGAGGGGCCGGACTCCATGTCTAGGAAATTTGCCGTAATTCGAGGGGACAATGACAAATAAAGACCATATAAAAGTAAAAGCATTAATGTCAAGTTTGAATATCTTTATAATTAAAGTTCTGAAATTCAGTATTTTTCCTCCTATGCTTCAATATTAAAAATTTTAAAAAATTCAGTTAGAATCTCTTTATTTCTTTCTTGTTAAATTTTTAATGAATCTTTCACTAGAAAGTACTCACGTCGGATCACAATATAAGTTATTGTTAACTAATTTATCTTTTTTAAAAAAAAAGCTGGTTAAAATCTTAATTCTCTAAAAAAATTCATATCTTTCTAATCATGCCCTGAGTGTGATAAATATGATATTTGAATTATTTAAAATACTTTCATTAATTAATCAATAAAATAAGTGTGTAATTGGGAAAAAATCTATTATGCACAATCAATAGCGATATATATATATATATATATATATATCTCACTCTCTCACACACAGTTTTCTCAACAAGGGAAGAGAGGGAGTAACTTCTATCACCAATATTTTGTTGGTTCTGTTTGCCCAAATTAAAGTGTTGCCTTGTACCCATAATCAAGTGTGATGTTTTTTTTGAGGCTATTTTATTTTCTCGAATGAAATAACTGTTAGCTAAAAAGAATAGGTTTAGTTTGGAGAACATCCCAAGGACTACAATCCCAAAAAATTCATAAAGGTTGACACTGGATATGATCTATCCATTAGTGTTAGGCATAACTTATTTAATAAGAAGTACTCCCTCCATTTTAAAATATAAACATTTTTTTAGCTATTTTAGTTTAAAATATAAGCAATCTAATACGCTTAAAATTTATTTTTTTTGTTTTAGCCCTTATATTTATTTACCTAGATCTTTGTGTAAATTTTTTTCTAATTCATTATGAGGTGCATTAGTAGTTGGGACTAAGGGTAAAAAAGGAAAAACAATATATATATATATATATATATTATGAAAATAATGGCTTTATTGATATGTGAATTTATGCTAAAAACCATTTATATTTTGGACTGAAGAGAGTGTATACTATATGTAATTCACTTTTTCGATCTCTAAATCATTTTGGTGAGTATAATATATCTTGAGTGGGATACAATATCTCTTCAAAAACTAGAAATTATTTGCCTATTTGGGAAGACATTATAATCAATTATAGGGCCTAAATAATCAATTTTTAGAAAAAAATTCCCAAACAGCAAAAAAAAATTTAATAATTGATTATTGAGCCAAAATCACATTTTGAAATAAACTTTGAGAGGTTGCTTATAGATTCAATTTTACTATTAAATAATATATTTTACTTCTTAAATAAAGTTTAACAAATTTAATAATATTAAATATAACTTTATCAATAATTTAATTTTAAAAAAATGTTCTTTATAATAATTTGTACAACTAAAATCAATTTCAATATCCAAACATATTGTGTTATAACATGATCAATTATAATTAAAATCAATCATATTAATAAATTATATTTAACTGAAATCTAAACAGGTCCTATCTCGTCAGGACCAACTCATTTAAGTAGCTAGTCCATTAAGCATCTCAATATAATGATGGGTGGGTGAAGAGTGAAAAACCTTTTGGGCCATCGGTCTCGCGACCAGGTTTGGGCATCACATAGGCTTTGACACGACCTCCAACATATGCTACATCTTTATGCTTCCATAGTCCATCCAGTATTTGGCCGCACCAAACGTGCTTTTCTTTCTTCTTCCTCGATGTCTTTATTACCTCTAATCCTTAATTAATATATATAAACAAGTTAATTAAGCACAAGTCCGTATAACAGAATTAAAAGCACCATCAATTATTAGGTAGAGAAAGAGAGTACTGTACCAAAGGCTTCCCAGACAGGCCAAATAATAAAACGGGTGAATGCCATGAAAATGTCATAACTTGTCCAATAATTTTTTGGAACAACATTTTCATGTTCACTGATGTAATTACTTGCTGGGTTCTCTGTATCCGCTGTGCTGCCGCGAAGAGCTACGACAAAATATGAACTTTGTTCAATTTTCAGATCATATTTATAAAGCAAAATTAAGATAAACAAAATATTTTCTTTTCATAAACATGAACTTACCAGTCTGCTGGGATTTTGAATGGCTGGTGATCCTCAACGGCTTCACGTATATACCTTGCGCATGAAAAAGGAAAACATATAAATATGAACAATAAATAAAATATTGATTTTTTTTATTTTGCAAAAACAAATAATATCCCTCCATTCTTTTCTTATAGGCCAAAATAGACAAGAGTTGGGTTTTACTATTTATAAAACAATTGAAAAAATTTAGGTAGTGATTAATATGTTTTTCCACAAATACCTTTATAAAAAGGATGGCCCTAGTTAATAAATAAGAGAGTGTGTGAGAAAGATTTAATTAAGGGCATTTTCGGAGCGGACTATAATTAAGCGGAGCATGCGTGGGTATCAATGATGAAGAGGTCAGCTATATTTGTGTGCCTGTGTTTATATATATATATATATATATATTCACACTCTTTTGATCTTAGTTATAAAAGTAAGGAGAAAAGATTAATTTTAATCTTATTTATAAGGCATGCATTTCATTATTTTTATGTTTAAAAATCATTTCTACCCTTATTAAATATTAAAAAAATTGAAAATATTTTTTTTGTCCTTTGTTAGGGGGATGGAAGTGAAAACTTTTTAAATTTTAGGATAGATTCAATGAAGTTTAAGATTTTCTTCAATTTGGGTACAACATCTTAAAAGTAATTCATAAATAAGATTAAAGAGAGAACTTACACTGATATGCCAACCAGTTATACCATCTAAAATTGCTGCTGCTTTCGAAGGCAGAAGGTTTGTCGGCTAGGATATGGAGAGGGGAAATTCCCTTTTCGTCCACGAAGCCAACGATGCCCTCTTTGTACTTATGAATGATTTCAAATGCCAACTCTGTGAATATACATGCACGTGAGCAAGAATTAATTAATTAAAGGCATCGATAAATAAATCATTAATTAGTTGTAAATTTATAACAAGTCCGCCTCCTACTATGTTTACCAGTCATTAATTTGGACTAAATTATTGTGGTATTTAATGAGACAAATTTATCTATAGGAAATAAACATTAACTTTACAATGAACAATTTACAAAATAAATATAATACATACTTCTTGAAATTTATAATTTTATTTATAAATTTTTCTTATATATATATATATATATTTGATAAGGGGAGTAAAATTTACATACCAAAATGGTCTCGGTAGAGGGTGCAATGAAGGACTGTCTGTCCATCGCTTGTTCTTCTGCATAGCCCAATAGACTCGCCGACGCAACAATCTTTGAGGTAAAAGAAAACTTTCTTATGTCCTTTGGCAGCAGCCAAGAAGAGAGGAGTCTCTCCATCTTTGTTGCGTTCTTCAATCAACACGTGTCCTTGATGAGGATCAGCTTCAATGATGCACATGCACATCTGGAGCGACCCTATGGATGCTGCACAATGCAACGCTGTGTCCCCTTTACCATTCTTTTTTTTCAAACTCTCCACCGCCGACGTCGTCCGCTTGATTTCATCCACCAGCTGCTTAACGGCGACAGCATTGTTGTTGTTGGCCGCCACATGCAACGCCGTGTCTTCTTTGTTGTTGATCGGCATCGTGTGAATCGCTGCATTGTTTTTGTATTGCTCCACCACTTCACTCCAGTTATCATGGAACGTCCATCGGTATAAATCCATCCCCATCATCAAAAGATGTTGAATATCCATCGATGAATCCATGTGCTCCATTTTGCAGCAATGTGACAATTACTAACACAACTCTCGAGGTTGTGTGCTAGTCACCTTGATGCGTGGTAGCCTTTTATACATGATTAACTACCACACTCATGTCCCATGTGTCTGAAAAAGCACGGAGCAGGAATCTCGGCGAAGCATTTACAATAGGGAAAATGACATTAAGTCCCAATAAAATCATTTTATTCAAGTAAATTCCTAACAAATTTTTAAATGTAAAGTAAGACCCTTAGATTTCAACTGATATTTTTGAATGTAAAGTCCAGCAAATTTGGAAGACAAAGTTGTAAGATATGAAAATATTAAATTTTGTAGACAAATTTGCAATTATGTTATCTTAAATTTGCAACTCACTTTTTCAAGTTTAACAAGGAACACAAATCTTAATAATTAAATTTGAAAAGTAATATGTCATCATTATTTTATAACTTTCAGGAACTTGTAACTTAATCTATCTTCTTAAATTTGTAATTTGTTTTCCTAATTTTAAAGCTAGGAGTGGATTGCATTATATAAAAATGCTAGTTAGGGACTTAGGAGACCTATTTTTCATTTTTGAAATTTGTTGGGGCTGTAAAAAGATTCTTTTGAAACTTAAATGCCATTCTCCCATTACAATATAATAGGACCTTTCCTTGTATGGAAGGGCAAGGTATTATTATCTTTTGCTTTTTAATTAATTTCAATTTTGTTATTTATGTTGGGTAACACGCAGTTTACCACTTCAAATGAGACAAGCAACCCAGACCAAAAAAATAAAATAAAATACATCTCTTTGTTCTCAACTTTGTCATCTGTTTTGACTCAGTCGATACATAATTGCTTATATATAATCGACCATGTATACCTTGGATATATTCTGAATTTCTGACGAATAGCTGCTAGCAACACTCAGGGATGGAGCCTAGAAAATTTATTTGATTGGAATAAAATTCATGACATACATTAATATACTACTTCATTTTTAAATATAAGAAAAAAAATAACTAACTCAATCAGTTTAAAATAATTAGTTAAATATAACAATTGTGTCTGGAATAAAAAATTTGGATTAAATTAATGGGACAAATTTGTGTCGTGAAAGTAAACATTGATTTTATGAGGGACAATTTGAAAAACAAATTTTATAAATGTTAGAAGAACATTATCTATGTATAATTAAGTTCTTGACCAATTGCCTTCACAACAAATCAAGAGCATTAAGTTTTGTCCAAAACAAAACCATAAGTGCACTCGTATATAACAAAAAAAGAACGAATATACTAGAACAATTACTAGATTAAATTAGCTTATTTAGAGAACAATAAATAAATAGCTAGGTGGGGCCGGTCAAAGTCAACTCAAATAAATAAATTAAATTTTAATAATAAATTAAACTTGACAAAGGCTAAAAAGCCATAAATTCATATCTAGCCTATATAATTTAAAGTTTAATAATAAATAAAAAGTAACAAAAGCTAAAAACCCATAAATTCATATCTAGCCTTCACACTTTAGCAATCTTCGAAGTAACAAAATTGTATAGAATTATTTGTCCTGCAAAAAGCAACACTCATACTATCATTTATTCCCATGTGTTCCACGAATTAATACAGACAGATATATTTTATTTTCTTTGGGGCCGAAGACTGCAGAGAGAAACAAACTTACTTGAATCCACACAAGTATTATATCGGTCTAATTTAATGGCAAATTAGACAAATTTGTTGATAATCGATTTTTGATTTAATTTATTAATTATATTATTGTTATTAATATAATAATTACAATTAATTTTATGTTTCCCAAGAATCATTTTGAAATTAATTCAGAGACTAATTTGAAAGTAAATAGACAGCTTAAAGATAATATTTATCCAATTTGAACTAGGCTAAAATGCATAAAGTTTTCTTGAACTTTGAAGTAGTTATATATGATCTTCCTTACCTTTCAATGTTTAAAATTAACTCTTCTAATTTTTAATATTTTTTTTCAAAACCCCTTACAATTAATTATTTTTTATTTTATTAATATAGTTATTGTCATGTCATATTGATACAATATACATGGTACATGACAAAAAATATTTTTTATTATTTTTGATGCAATTTAAGGAGGGGCAAAGTTATAATTTTTACTTTTAACACACATGGTGATACTCTCTCTTTTTTTTGGGTTAAGTGACATTTACGAGTAATATAATTTAAGAGAAAAATTATAATTTTTTTATTCTTTATTAATTAAAACAACTTTTTATATTAAACAAATGAACTGCATTTGAAGGTGAGTGCTTATAAGCATGCATATACTTGCAGGTGAGTGTTCTATAGTTTTCAGTATAAGTTTTCTTTCTGTTAATTAAACAGCAGTGAGACTGAGTGCATGAAACCTAATAGATGGGTGCAAAAAGGGATAATTTTTTTAATAAAGCAGCATGGATTTGAAGAAATGGTTTTCCACGATGCAGTTCAGCATTGACAGTAAACTCCTAATTTTAATACATAACACTTAGAGGCTGAGATTGATAAAGAATAATAAAACTATAATTTTTTTCTTAAATACTCTCTCTCTCTCTCTCACACACAAATACAACAACTTCCTTCGTCCTAATTTATAAGACACTTTTAAAAAAAATTTAATGTCTCAAAATACAAAACACTTTAACTAAAATAAACAAATAATGTTTCACTAGTGATACTTTTTTAATAAATAAATAACTGCATCCTAATTTGTTAGGTGAGATTATGTAATATTCTTTTATCTTTATTTAACAACATTAATCATTGAGAAATTGTCAGGTAGGATTACATCATTTGATAAACTGCCCTTTTAAACACAAAGGTATTAATTGCTCTTAAATTCTATGAAATTTCTTCTATTTTGACATATAGGACTTTGAAAACCGTATATGTGAAACAAACGTAATATTAATTAATTATCCTCAAAATTACGTAAAATGTCTAATATATTAAAAATATATTTCATCCCCAAAAAGTAAATCTTACAGTTAAAACGTATGGGATATATATTATGTTCCTTGGGAGAGATAAAGTAAAAAGGACTTGATCAAAATAAGAGACAAAGTGAAAAGATATATAACGCATGAACAGTATCATTCTCTATCTTGTTTCATATCATATGGTGTCCTTTACTTCATGCTCGTTTTCAGATCTTTGATGGCGTAAATCAACTTATGTTTCCCATCTTGCCTTCTCAATTTAGCAATCTTGAAAGTTACAAAATTGGATAGAATTATTCATCCTGGAAGAAGCAACAGTTATATCATATATTCCCATGTGTTCCACGAATTAATACAGACAGTTATGTTTTATTTTCTTTGCGGCCGAAGACTACAGATAGAAACAAACTTACTTGAATCCACGCAAGTATCAATTGGTTTAATTTTCTGGCAAACAAATTTGTTGATAATCGATTTTTATTTATTTAATTAATTATATTATTATTAATACAATGATTACAATTAATTTTTACGTTTCCCAAGAATCATTTTCAAAATACTACAAGAAATTAATTAATAGACGTTGAAAGTAAATAGACATGGTTCGACTATAATGTTTATCCATTTCCAATTAACTTAATCAAATAATAGAGGATGTTTGTTAAGAATCATCTACATGTGATAGAGAAAGGATACACATGACAACACAAATTTTGAATGTTTAAAAAATTGGATTGAGAAATTAAAATCATATCAAAACAATACATATTACATACACAAACACACACGTTAAAGAATTGGCATATTACTTAAAGCTATATGTATGTATTTATTATTTTTCTCTTGTTCGCAAATATCAGTCACCAATGCTCAATGTAAGATTTCAATTCAACCGTACAAGAAAGAAGTGAAATCTAATTATAATCAATTTTTTACATAAGAAGTGACTTTTTATCGAGACCAAAGGTCTTTTTTTTTTTTTGTAGTAATTGGTGGATAGTCACTAATATATGTAATTATTTTAGTAATGCTATTTGAGCGGTGAAACCTTTCTTGTCCATAATAAGCCTTTAAACTCCATTCACATGAGCTTTTATCCATTTGTTTAAAATAAAAAAGAAGGATATGAACATAGTTGAGGAATTAATGTGAGAGATACTTACGTTTAGTGTCACACACACACGTGTATAATAATATTATTTACTGTTTGAATTTAGGTTTAGAGAAACATCTTTTCCTTATGGGGGGTTATTCAAAACCATTTTTCAATCTTACTACTTTTGCAAATTTAATTCCATAACTTATTGTATACTGTGTATCTCTAATTTTTATTTTTAATAAGGATAAAGTTTGGATTTTTTTTTTCATTTTAAGACATTTAACAAGTTATGCCATTCCTTGGTTCAAGTAAAATAGTTGAAAGTGCCTTATAATAGGACATGAAGAAGTTTATATATTATATAATCTGCCATTGAACTTGCAATGTAACCTGTAGTTTTGAATATTTGTGGACAATGATAGAGAGATTAATGATTCAAAATTAAAAGCCCAATTATAATTGTTGGAACTTGCTTGAATGTACGTAGTTATATGATAGGCCAAAGGAATAACAGGTTAAAGATGCAAACTATAATTCGTAGACTCTCACCTTAGTGAGAACTTTCAACTCTCTACGTACAATGTATCTGAGAGCTGAGAGTTTGTGAGGACATCTATGGTGTTTGGTGGTGTGGAAACTACGATTATCGAAGAAGACGATGATAGGATTAGAGATGCGTAATAATGCATGCATATTCACATTCACTAATGTTGATGCATACTTTTAGATTTTGAGAGGCAGACCATGGTAACCAATACAAAGACCACACCAAAGGTAACGACAATTTTGTTTGCTTTATAAACCTAAGTAATTGTAAGATTTATCTTACTTTATTGATGTTGTGTTATTATATGGAGCCGTAAGCAACTAAAGAAAGCCCAACTATATATGTGGCTTTTATGTGAAGAGGAATATTTTCAACATCATCATCCAAGGCATGACCGAATGTATTGAGGT